TGAATATGTAAAGACTTTATTTTATTTGAGCTATTGAAGCCCTTTGCTGTAAATTGTGTATTGCTTATTGCTGTTTGTTTGTTAGTGTCAGATTAGATTACAGTTTTATTAAATAAAATACAAAGATGACATTGTAGAGACATTAAGATTATTTAAAAGCAGGCACGATAAAAAGTTAGCAACTCCTTCGTTGGGAATCGAACCACGGACCTCTCAATTACACGCTGAGCGTGCTGACCACTACACCACGAAGGCTCTCTAAGAAAGCAAGAGAAATGCCTTACATACTCCCCCTTTTAAAGGATGACTGGTGTTTTTATGTGACCTAGTCGCCACATCCTGGGTGAGGAGAATAATCATCCAACACCCTTTTAGTTCGGGCTCCACTGTAGAGTCATTATGATTATTTGGAAGCAGGCGAGATAAAAAATTAGCACCAGCTTCGACGAGAATCGAGCCGCAGACCTCTCAATTATTCGCTGAGCATGGAGACCACTACAGCACGAAGGCTTGCTAAGAAGGCAGGAGAAATACCTTATAACATACATATTTACAGAAGATGCCATGTAAAAGTCATCTTTCTTTACTCCCGTTTCAGTTTAAATTTATCATATCACTGTTAACATGTAGTTTATAACATGAAGTTAATGTCCTCAGTGTGTAGTTAATTTTGGGAGATGCATTTTCTAATAGTAGGTTTACTAAATGATTAATTTCTTCGTGGAAAAAAAGCCAATATCATTGCAAACATTTTTTAACCTGAGCAACTGAGTGTGAATGGTATTTAAAATAATTTCTTTTGAAATATTAGAGTGCCAATTAATTAGCCAATTAAAGTACTTTTTGGAGTGTAAATTTGGAATGTGAAGGGGTAAATGTCAAAGAGAGCAAAAGGTGAATTTGAGCCTTTTGGGGCTCTTGTGATCTGCTTAAAAAAATGGTATTTTTAAGTTGAATGTAGTTATGAAACGCGCCAAATACATTTTGTAATGGAAATAAGTTAGGTTTTTACCACATTCTTTTTTTCTACAGTTTCAAAGATTTTTACAGAATTTGGCAACCTGGTTTCTCACCCACGTTTTAAGCTTCAGGTATTTTTAGCCATTTTTTGCACTGCAACACGAGTTCATAAACATAAGTACAGTTTTCTTTTATATCTATTATTTCAGCACGGACAGGAATTGTAGGCTTTTTAAAATGTTGCAACACCAGGAGGAATGAAAATTTTATTTTAGGTTTCTTTTTCAGCATTTCAATTTCCGTAAATTTTTTTTTACGGGAAAAACTTCTGTTTATACCAGATTAAGTTTGAGGAGTTTCTCTAATTCAGCTTCATATTTATACACTTTTGTTTCTAGGACTAATTTGCACACTTACATAATTTATTAATTTTAGAATTTTGATTATTTTGTGTGCAGTTTTATTATGCTTTTATCTTTTTGTGAATGGTATTTATTGTATAATTTTTGCATTTTAATTTAGTTTGTGTATGAATTAATTTTTATTATTTGCTTTTCACTAGTGGAGTGCCAAGGACATTTTGGGGTGGGATGAAATTATTTGAAATATAGTTAAGCATTTTTGGACAATTAGTAGTAGTTTGAATGGCGGGAAGAACAAAACATGTGTTCAGAACTCTCTAATAATCCAGGTTTAATGTTTTAAATGCTTACCCCTTGAAGAGTTCTTTGAAACATTAAGCAAAAGGTGATGAGTAGTTTTTGTTTTTACCATGTATATCATTTTCACACTATAATTACCTATACCTGTTTATACTTTTAACAGGGTTGCCATGCTACCTGGAAAACCAGAAAAAGTCAGAGAATTTGAAAATTGACCAAAAAATTTGGGGAAAGGTCAGGGAATTTAAATATTTTAGTCAAAATCTGAAAAAGGTCTGAGAATTTCATGTGCCGATCCCCCCCAAAAAAGCGAGTTTTGCGCCAATGTTGGAAGCGATAACTTTCTTGGTGAATTGTGTATCGCGTGAGCCTCATTTGGGCAGCTGGCATAGAGCCAATTTTCGCAGCTCCAATTAGATTGTCTTTTAGAATGGCAAAGCAAGTTTCCAGCTGCTTACGTTTCCAGTAACCTCGAGAATTGAGAGAATCGCATGTGCATTGGAAGTTGAACTAAACAAAATACTTATTCTCGTATAAAACAAAATAGGTTTAATTGTAGTATACAGTACCATGAAAGTTAGAATCAAGGAATATGTATTGCTAAGAAGGAAGACTTCTCGCCAACAGGAGTGGCTCCGTTCCAATGTAGATGGAAACAGCTGTGCATGCACGAAATATCTGTCGCCAAAGCTTGAAGCCGGTGTCGAAGTTCGAGTTTAGAAAACGAATTGCGTTTAAAATTTCTGTAAACTTTTTTAAGCGAAACAATGTTACCGTGCAAGTAAATTAATAGATTAATTATTTTGGGATGGGGAAACTACGAAAATCCGTGTTTAAATTATTGCGAAAAATCAAAGAACAACTTAAAGAATCATTATGTCAAAGAATGTTTCTTCTTTACACGTGTTCCTCAATTTCCTGCACATATTGCGGAGAGGGAAATTCTGGCTGCCAAGTTCTGTCGGCAAATCCCTTGGCGAATTTTCCCTCCGCTTTCTAGTGATGTAATAGCATTACGTCTATGGAACCTTTCCTTCTTTACATTTTACCACAAAATCTTTTAAACCTTATTTTTTTTCCCTTTTTAATAAATGCCTTGTCATTTTGCAGCAAAATAAAAAAAATAGTAATCAATCATATTGGCTAGCCATTAAATATAACTATATTCACTAAAATATCATTAATTATTCCAATTTAATTTTTAAGTAAATTATCTTTATTTTTATGTTATTCATATCATTTAATGCTACTTCTTCCCTCTAAATTTAGTTATTATTAGTAAATAATACTTTCAAGTTTCAAGAAATGTTCTCTAGCAAAATACTGAAATTAATTCTAGCAGTATTGATGACATGTCATCACGAAATTTAATGCACATATTTTTTGTGTATGTATGCTGCTGAATAAATATAAAATACCTGAATTTATTTAAAAATATCATTAAATATATTTCTTTCGTTTAGCTGAAAAATGTCTGAAAAAAATGTAATCCAGATTCTAATCTCAATCCCCAGTGGAGAAAACAATTCCTATTATAGTTAAAATAGTAATGCTTTGGAGATTATATTTATATATATAAGTCATTATGTAATTGGCAAATTTTTGTGTTTTCAAGTAATCCCGTAATTAACTTACTTCTTAGTACAGCCAACGTGCATTACGCGGATAGACTGTAATTTCCTTAAAACACACCTGGAAGTCACGGAATTTCATTCTCCTGTTTGAGTAGCAACCCTGTTTTAAGAAAAATCTTTTTCCCACCTTGATTATTTAATAGAATAACATATGAATATTAACTATTTTCATATTATTACTACGAATTGCCATATAGCTTTAATATCTGAAACAGTTTTTCCTAGAATAGGATAATCTTTTTAATAATTTCTTATAATAATTACTTAAAATTAAATCCTTTGCAGCTCAGGAATTAATTCTTTCTTTCCTACTTAATTTATTTTTAACCTTATATTACACACACACACTCACACAGACATGATGAACAAAACATGATTCATTTGTTTAGGATTTTTCAGGTTTTCATGTTACAAATTATTAGTATCTATTGAAAAGTTTGGCTGGATCATGAACATATGAATAATCTAAAGTGTGTTTTGTAAAATTAATAAGATTTGTAAGTTCACATTAATAAAATAATTTTTTTTTGTATGAAATGAGATCATAAGTTTTGCTTTTGTTTTCAAAATTATGAAATAGTATGGGATTGTTTAAAGTTTTGTTTTTGTTTTTAAAATTTAATAGGTTTATTTCAATGCAATTCTAGAATTTTCCTAGGATTCTTTAATCTACTACTAAATTATTAATTTATGTTTTTAATTATATGTATATACACATGATTTCCAGAGTTATGCATACATTGTAAGTTCCTATATTCCAAAAGGCCTGAAAATGGCTGCAAAGTTCAAGTAAAATGTTTTTGGGATCTCCCTACGTATAAGAACATGAGTCAGTCTCTCTCAATAATAATTACTGAAATATCCTGTACAGTCAAAAGGCGTTAATTCGGACACCCATAATCCGGAATGAACTATACTCCGGACCTCAAAGCTACAAACTTTCTGCGCATGCGTCGCTTTGACGTTTACGGCTGCGAATAAGACATTTACGGCTGCGAATATGCGCGTGCGCAAATTACGTTTACGAATGCGCGTTTAATGTATAACGGACGGTATAAGCTAAGCTAAAATTATCTAATTCAGTTAATGTTGCAGATTGTGTTGTTCCTTAATCTTCGAATTGGATTCGGATTATTATTTTTTGCAGACTGTTAGAACAATTTTATAAAAGTAAGCTTGAACTTTCGATTATGTCAAATAGAATTTCTGATATATATTTACTAATATGTAAAGGATCTACAAAGCGAAAGTATGTTTCAAAGTCAATTAAACAAAAAGTGGAATTGCTGCAAAAAATGGATAAATGCATATCCTTTGTTTAGCTAAACTTTAACGTTTGTTTATCTAAACTTTGTTTATCTTTAATGCCGCGGCGTGCAATGAATTGGAAGTTGATCTGTCAGCACTATCCTTATCTTCAGGGCAGATGTTTTTATTTTATTTGGCTTATAATTCCTTACTAAATGTAGTATTTCATCTCGATGTACTCCGTCTTTGATATGATTTAAATGAAATTCCTCGTCATTATAATTTGCTTCCGATAGCGAAGAAAGTGACGGGTTATTGAAAACGAAAAAATTTCGATTTGACAAATTAGTCGGTATTCTCGACACAGCAACTATAGGACTTGCACAGCCATTCTAGATAGGAAAATTTGCAAATTATAAAAAACATGTATAATTTGAATTTAGTATTTGACTCTCAAATTATTTCAAAAGCTTTATAAGTTTTTCAAACTTTGCAGTAATGGATGGAAGTTTACCACAGTCATTAAAGCACGTGATAAGTAATGCTGAATACTATGGTCCATCTTTATTTCTTTTAGGTATGTATTAATCTTTAATGCTTTTTTTATTGAATAATTTTGCTTATTTCGCAGTGTCTTTTCTGAAGAATACATATATTCTTATATGTGCTTTTGCTGTGTTTGTGTATTTAACAGCGACAGATGTTGTCACAGTTTATGTATTTCAAGAACCGACACTTTTGCCATCATTACAAGATAATGGTTTGACAGATGTTGTTCTTCATGCGCTGCTTGTAAAAGAGGTAAAGAACTAAATTCATCTGTTATTGAAACACTGCCCAGTTATTTTTTTTAACTTATGCTTTCAATTTTTTTCTGTAATTATAAATTTTTACTTATGTATAGCACAAAATGCTGAAATCTTAATGAAACCTTCGTATTTCAGCTTCTCTCAGCTATTTTTATATTCAATCACGGTATGTTAAAATATTTTATCTATGTTGTCATACTTATGCAAGCCTCTGTATGCTTCTTTGACCATATATTTTTTGATCAAGTGAAAGTTTGCCGCTCTGGGTTGTGTGATTGTTAGCAGAGGATGACTAAATATTCCATTAGAATGTAGTTTGAATTTCTGGTAAATTTCTGAATTGTAGATCTTTTTTACTGGAATAAAGACACACTCTTTTTCTCCAAATGACCATTTGAGATTGGTATAACCTAAAGTTAGCAAGCAGTAATTCTACAGGTTCAGCAATGCCTGCTACCAAGTCAGCTAGGAGAGTGAAATTGCATTTTACTCTACTTAGATTATTCTGCCAGTAAATTAAAACTAAGATTTATCCAGATATGTATTTTATTAGCTACTTTAGGTGCCACTTAATTGTGATCACATTTATCAACCACTATTTTGATTAACATTGAATGATGAGAGAAATCTAGAAAATATCCTGCAAAATAGCAATGGAAGACACTGTCATGCAGATGTACCAGCATTAAACCTTTTCCTTGCTGGCATGACAGAGCATTTTCTCATTTATCCCTGCCCAAGGAGGTTAGAATAGAAAGAGGGAAGCTTCAATTCAGGCCGTGAATCTTGGCGGCCATGTTAATACTGTTGCTGTGACTTGTGCAAGGAAGTCTGTTATTGCAACATTTTTTTTCTTTTTGATGCATGCCATCTTGTGTTGCATATGCAGAGTTGCCAACTCTCCCGATTCAGGCAAGAGACTCCAGAATTTCGACCGCTATCCCACCAACCCAATTTACAATATATTTCTCCCAACTTTTTTTTTATTCTGAAAATTTCTCACGATTTTTATAGAACTTAGCTTAATACTTTGTTATATGAACAAAAAAAAGTGATTTTGGATGTCTGAAAGCAATTGAAGTTTCTCTAGATTATATCTAAAACAAAACCTTGCGGATCAGATGAGAATTTTTGCTTTGTGAGTGAGAGCATACGTAACCAGAAACGTCATTCTCCAGTTCTCCAATGGCCATCGAGCTCCACTGCCTGTCATCTGGCATATATTAGCATGTGAGAACAAAGCAAGCTGTTAGTTGGATGTTCTTTTGGTTATTTTGTTCATTTTGTCCCGAGTTGTGTGAGTACATGTGCCTTCAAGAAATAGTTTTAGAAATTATCATCTTTTGTTATGTCAGCAAGAAAGGTGAAATACTGGTGTACGTTTCAAAAATCATGCACAGTTGACTTTTCTTCCATTATTTCCTCAAGGAAATGTAATATGCGATGTGTACCATCTGTCGTTGCGATTTTTGGATTTCGCATGGTGGAAGAGTGATGTTCTCAAACATGTGCGGACACAAAAACACAAGGACAACATGAGTTGTTTTGGGAAAAAAAAAAAAAAAAAAAAAAAAAAAAAGGATTTTTCTTTGGAAACAAAGGACCAAAAAGTGATTAATGCAGAATGTCTGTTCTCAGCCTTTTTACTGGAGCACAACCTGCCACTGAATGCATCGGATCACGCGGGAGCTTTATTTAGAAAAATGTTTCCTGATAGTGAAATGGCTTGAAATACTCAATTGCAAGAATCAAAACAGGTGCAATTGTTAAAGAAATGGGTTTGAAAAATAAATCTTCAGTTATTGATTGCATTAAAACAGCTCCGTTCTGCACCTCTACGGATGGAAGCAATAATACCGATTCAAAACTGTATCCAATTGTTGTTTCTTTTATTAATCTTCAGAAATTGAGTGCAGTTTATTTTCTGTCCCCACTTTAGAAGGACATTTGACAGGCTTTAATATAGCACAGCTAATTATTAAAACTTTAAAAGAAAGTGCAGTCCCTCTGGATAATTGCTTGGCACTTCGTGCCGATAATTGATAGGTGATTTGTAGGCTTTGAAGGCTGGTGTTGCAGCCATCTTAAGAAAGGAAAATTCAAATTTTCAGATTATGAGGTGCACCTGTCAGCTCTTAAATTTGGAAAAATTGAAACAGTTCCAACTCCTGCATAACAGCAGTTTACAATTAGAAAACTTAGATGAAGTTATAAAATCAACTAGGATTGACACCCAGTGGAGTTTTAATTGAAAACTGAAAGGTGCCGATGGAATTTTAAAATATAGTGAACTGTCTAGAATAATGTTGGCAATGTCGACAGTTCCCCATAATATTGCAGAGTGTGAGAAGATTTTCAGTGTTGTTGCGAAACCGAAGACTAAACTTAGATCTAATATTAGTGATGACGCATTAGAAAAACTTTTATAAGCGAAAGCAGGCCTACGTGGCAATTGCTGTGAACAAAATTATGAAATCAGCCACTGTTTATAACATTTGTACAAAAACTGATTAATTTTTTTTCAGTAAACGTTGCAAGTAATAAAAATGTTTTTTTTTTTTTTTATGTGTAAGGTATTTTTTTGTTGCTTGCATTTAAGAATTAGTTACTATTTAAAGTTAATTCATTATAAGAAACTCTAATTTTATCATTTAAAAAGTCTTTTTAACATTGTGAAAAATTTCCTGATTTCTTAAAAAAATCCGATTTTTGCGTGTCATAGGTTGGCAAGTATGCATATGGATGCACAAATCGATTTTCAAAAAATATTATTTTTCACGCATAAGTTTTGATTTTTTTTATGTAATTTCATAAATATATTGAAAAATATTAGAAAGTCATGTTATTTTCTTTCCAGATGTGAAAAAAGGATCTTAATCAAAATAGGTTAAATACATTTTAATGTTTCTGTTTATAGCTGGTATCTTCGTTCCTTAACATACAGTGATATGTGCTAGGATTTAATCTGTGTAATTTGAATGTCTTCGGTAATTTGTTTTGTAATTTTCATTAAAAGTAAGAAATCAATTGTTACTATTTTTATGAATTATTAGGTGTTATGCTTTTCTTTATGTATTAATTATTATTCATTTTAATTTTCATGAACTACACTGGTGAAATAAATTAAAAGACTTTTCATATTTGATCTGCTATCTCCAGAACTACTGGACAGATTTTAATAAAATTTGGTGTGAACATAGGTTGGTATAATACAAAAAAAAAAAACAAAAAAAAAAAAAAAAAAAAAAAAAAAAATAAACATTCAACAGTTATAATAGATACACATGCTCATGTGTAACACTCATCGGAGTCTGAAAATCTGAAACAGCAATTGCAGAAGACACAAAAGAAATGGTTTAATAGGGGGTATGGTCCCATCTTACAGCCATAGAGGCCTTGCAACATGATGTCATACTGGAAATAAGGCAGTTTATCAATGCCTGTAGCAATTGGTCCCACTCATTCAGCAACGCTGTTTTCAGTCCCTGGATGGTTCTCGGAGGGGGTTGCAAGTGTTAATTGCCCTCCCCAGAGCATCCCAGACATGTTCTATAGGGTTGAGGTCTGGAAACCTGGCTAGCTAATCCATCCAGCAAATATCCTCACTCTCGAGAAATTCGTCGACCAGAAGATGATCTTGCGTTATTGTCATGTAAGATGAACTCAGGGTCCACTGCATCCCGGAAAGGCGAACATAGGGCTCCAAGACCTCATCCTTATACCTCGCACCATTCACAGAGCCTTTGTCAAAGACAGGGAGAGGTGTGCGGCCATCCAACATGATGCCTGCCGAGACCATTACACTGTCACCTCCATAATTGCTGATTTCGCGGACATTGGAGGGTAAGTAGTGGGTCCCTGGCTCTCTCCATATGAAAGTACGGCGAGAATCGGTGTTTGGGCTAAACGCGACTGGTCGGTGAACCGACCAGTGTTAAAATCTCTGCATGTCTGGATTTGCGATTGGCCTGCCTCTAGCCTCCCCACAATTCGCCTCTTCATTCCATCATCTAAACGTTAGTGGTTACTCATTTTTACTGTTCCGATGTGAATGTAACTGATTTCTGCAAGATAACACCAAGAAATTTGCTGAGGTGTGCTAGGGAACGCAATTCGTCTTACCCTCCACCCGCTTATAAAGCCTTTTTTTTTATGCTGGCTCGGCCTACACACACATATGCTTAGGTATTTGCCTTGCAAGATTTACATTTTTAAGCAGTGGTTTTTCCTTAACTCGATTTTCCTTCAACTCGATAAAATATACAAATTCTCTTTAATTTATTTCACCAGTGTTAGTATGAATACAATTTGTGCATTTGATCAAGGTAAAGTTTTCTGTAGTTAAATATTTTTTGTATAAAGATACAAATTTTTTGGACAGTATAGCAATAGTAAGTAAAATATTTACTCAACTTAACACGTGGAAAGACTTTTCCAAAACGTTATGTAGGTATATTTCTGTAATTTGTACCTTATTTTGTTTGCCTGTGTGTAATTATGAAACAACAGATAAATTAAATAATGTGCAATTTATAAAGTATGTATAACAACTCTTTTGTCCATTTGGTCGTTTATTTTAGAATGGACTAATATGATAGATACTGATCAGCATGATCGATGCCTTTCATGTGCTTATAGTCATAATAAGGGAAGCGACTAAGTCCTATTGTGCTGACTGGTAGGTGAATGTGGGAAGCAACTAAATACATTTTCTACAAATTGTTGGTGGCTTTTGTAATATTTTTACAGTAAGCTTGAGTAATTTTCTATAGCACGTACATTGCAAAAATGTATTCCTGGTAAGATGAGTATCAGATGCACTCTAACAGATGACAGTTTCGTGAAGCTGATCGTACATTGTCCATAAGCACTTCTGCAGACTTTTAACTTCATCACTAGAAGCATCAGTTTAGCTCTTGTGTGTTCGTTCCCAGCCTAATTTGTCTTTTTTTCTAGTAAATTGCTAAGGATGGACAAAAATTAGATTGATGATGAAGAATAGTATTCAAATTGTTTGCCAAGTTGCGAGGACAAGGTTATGGATGATGATTCTAGTAATAAGGATGTTATACATCATCCTAGGACTGTTATCCAATGATTAATTTAAAGCAGTTTTGATTGAAGCCTGGATTCGTATGATTCTGATTCTCAGAATGAATGGTGATCAGTAGACCGCCCCACCCCCAGTCTCAGAATTTTTAGGTCACTTAGGAATAAATGTAAGAAACGTCCTGGATAGTGTAGCATATGCTGTAGCTTTATTTATTGGAAAAGTTTTTTTTTTTTTTTTTTACATTTCTTGTAGAGGAGTCGGAGATATTATATATTTACCAAAGTATTGATAAATTTACAGCTTAAAAGAAAGCGCTCAAATGGAGAGAAAAAACACAAGACGTAGAAATTTTGGTGCCTTTCTTCCTATGTGACTGGTGTGTAAGAACTGAAAAGCAGATTATTGCAGTACTGATCCATGTATAGAGAAGCCAGTTTTTCCGAAAGTAATGACGAGAGATTTCCTATTTTATGGAAGTCTTGGCACTTTAATAATAGTGAAGACTTAACTGATGGATTGGACATTCTTTTGAAAATCGAATCATTACTGAATCAATTTGTTCCCAAGTTTTTATAAGCCTATTCAACTGTTGTCTTTGGATGAAGGCTTAATACCTTGGAGAGTGAGGTTATTCTTCAAAGTTTATAATGCAATGAATATTGTAAAGTATGCAGTTTTAGTTTGTATACTGTGAGAAAGTAGTGTCGTTTTGAAATATATTGTGCTCAAGAAAAGCAATTGTTAGAATTAATTCAAATAGTTGTGTGACCTTTTACAGATTTTCGCCACCATACCTACATGGATGACTATTACAATAGCATGGAAAATAGTTAAGATGTATTTCAAAATAAAATTAAAAGTTGTGCCACTATTCAGACAGAGAGAGGACTTCTGGATTGCCTATTTGATTGAATAGAGGAGAAATAGCCTTCAGAAGAAAAAGAAACATTTTAGTCCAGTGTGGCAATAAAAGAAAAATATATCTGTCATATCGACAATACATGAATTTAAAATGAAAGAAAGTTCAACCGGGTTTACCGGTATCTGTCATATTACTCCATTCTTAAAATAAACAACCAAATGCACAAAAAGAGTTGCTATTTGTACCTTATAAATTGCACATGATTTAACTTATTTGTTGTTTTATTATTCCATTAAGGGAAAGAAAAGATACAAATATTTTTTGAAACTCGTAGCTGTTCATTGGCATACTTATGAAATTCCACCAGAAATTGATAAAGAGAAGAAGTATTACCATCAAGTTCGGTATTTAAAAAAAAGCAGGAAAGGATGAGTCTCTAGGGAAACTTCCTTGGGCATGAGGAAGCATACATTAGAACCCGTCATGAGAACTAGAAAAAAAGGGAAAATATTTCATGAGCATATTGCGTTTGCTCCACAATGAAACTTGCAGTGTAACACAGTATATGTGTAAATTTTGTAACGTACCCTTGCACAAAGGAAAGTGCTCTGAACGATATAACACTTTAAATTTTTTAAACAATTCTTGATTTTCTAAGTTTGATTTTTGAGAAGATAGTTTAACTTTTTTAAAGCAAATTTGATTTTTAAAGAGGATCTAAAGTTTTATTAAAACTAATCTAAAGTTAAAAAAGTACTGCTATTTTGTGCTGAAATAATTGCATGTGTTCGGCATGAATATAAAAATTACTAATGTAGGAAATTCGGTATCATCATATATTTTTATATGTCGCAACAAACAAAAAGCTGCATTTCAAAACCAAAGTGTGTTGCAGAGAAGATGATTTCAGAATTTTGTCGAAGAAAGCAAATTTTTGCTGCTGTCTTTCTCAACTACACATCCCTACAAAGCATTAACTGTGTCTGTATAGATACCAAAACAATATGCAGAATCCTTGTCAATGTAGATCAAGGCATTCACTGTAATTATGAATTAAACCTAAGAAAAGGAAACTGCACTTAAAAATGCAGCCACAGTTCTCTTATTTAATTACATACACCTGGAATCACATTATTACTTTTTATATTATGTGTTTATTTAAATTTACTTATTTAAAATTACCTAATTTTACAGTGCAGTATAGTATAGTCACATAAAACGAAAAAAAAATTTGAATCAAATTACATGTAGTATTGATGAACAAAATTTATTATAGTTTATCTCAGCAATAATGTAAAATATATGTTGTAATACAAATTGCTTTAGTTTATTGTATTTTGGAGGAGCCTTTATACATGGCTAACATTTAACAGTATCATGTTAAGAAAAAATTGTGATGTTATGGTACATTTTTCAGAATTTTAAAAACATAATTGAATTTTATGGACATTGGCTAACTATTTAGATATCTCCTTACTTTATGGTCCCATACCAACTGTATCTGTTTGATACTGCTGTAATATCACTCTTCAACATGAATGTGTGAAACATAGCATTTACAGACTAAGAAGGTGCTCTGTTAGAAGAGTTGATCCTTTCCACAAATAAAAAAAATTGGGAACCATTGATGTAGCAGATGCTTTAAATCTTAAGAGTTTCTTATGTATTGTTACATTTAAAAAAATCTATCAACTGCTTTATTATAAATTACTACGAGTTGAAATTAAAATTTCTTAAATAATTTATTCCGTATTCATTTGAGCAGTCTTCTATCCACTTGATTAAACCCAATGTGGTTGTGACAGCCTTTGGTCATTTTCATGGTTTTCACTTTATGTAATCTAAATATGCCTGTTTCTTGTAGAGAGTCTTCCATAAACACATCTCCTAATTTGCACAGATAGCCTATGTGCAGTTTCCCTTATTCGGAATAAATTTAATTGCACCTGCTATGGACAGATACATTTTTTTAATGAATTACGCATTTAGACTAGTGGCACTAGGGTGAGATTTTTAAGAGTAAGTTATGTGTATTTCCACTTGTAACCCACGGCTCAACAAGCGCCATCTAGCGGCCGCCAGGACGAAACACCAGCCAACAAAGACTATAGCAGTCAGTCGATGTACTGGACTCAAGACACTTAAGCATGGTGTTCCCAAAGATTTACTTTGTAATTTAAATGTGTAATTATAATGCCCTTAATTGTATTGTTTTATCTTAATTGTGTTTTGTTAATTAAAACTATTTAAAGGTACTAATTCAGAAGTCAAACAACATATATTTACAAAATTTTCACAGTGTGAAAACTGTGAAACTCTGGAAATTTTGTAAATATAACGCTGATTTTTGTTGTTTGACTTTTGAATTAGTATTTATTCGGCGTTTTATTGTGTCTCAATCATTTAAGTCTTTTGTTTATGGTAGTTTTGGTTACACATTTTATTTTTAGGTTCCTGCTACTCGAGAAGTATTAGCATCTCTTCCAAATGTGTTTAGTGCTTTGTGTTTAAATGCTAGAGGACTGCAATCATTTGTTGCTTGCAAACCATTTGAAAAATTGTTTAGAGTTCTAGTTTCACCAGAATATTTGCCTGCTATGCGTAGAAGGCGTAGTTCTGATCCAATAGGTGATGCTGCTAGTAATTTAGGGAATGCTATGGATGAGTTGATGAGACATCAGCCAAGTTTGAGAACTGATGCAACTGCTGCAATAATAAAGGTAATTTGCACTATTTAATTTATGTTAGATTCTGATTTTTCCCTACGTACAGTATTTTAGATTTGTAATTATTCATGATGTAAAACTGTTGATTGCTTGGCTAATACATATTGAAGCACAACATATGTTAAGATCATCTGCGATAAAAAATTGAGTTAAAACTTTTGTGTATTTATAGAAACATGCTATAATATTGATAAATGTTTTTAAACCACATTTTTGTTTTACTCTTAAATCTTGTAAACAATTTTTGTTCGTTTCATTTGGGATTCAATGAACTACCACTCCTTGATGTTAGCTGGTTGCAATATTGAGGAGGGAGTACTTTTGAAGGGAAAGTCATGGCCTGTGTCTACAAACATTTATTATCAGAGAATTCTTAAGGTTAGGTGATGTATTTCTGGGAGAGTAGCTGCCACCTGATATGATAATAAAAAAAATTATATTTAAACTAACTTGTATACTACTTTCTGTAATTGGAGCATAATTTTAGCAACATAGTGACAGAAGCTGGAATCTGACGTAATAGGTCAATGTTGTTAATATAATTACCCCATATGTAATGTATGGCATAATAAGGTTCTTAAAGATGATTTCTTTTTAACCCCTTCTAGGTGGGCAGCGCATGTCGCACGTTCGGCATTTTGTGCTTGTAAGGTTGGTGTTCCATGCCATGTGACAAAGTGGAAAATTCCATCGTTGAAACTGAATTTGTTGCTTTAAATTCGATGATTATTTGTATTTTTAAATATTGCTAAGAGATAGTGTGACTGATCCTTGTTTCTTCATAATTTTTGCAGTGGGATTTCATGCCTTGAATATCTGTTATTGAATATCCGTTTGATATCTTTCAAGATATTTTTGATATTCATAGCCAATTTTTTTTTCATAAAGTAAGCAAAAAATTATTTTTTAAAAACTTAATCCATCATGTTGGTTTTGCAATAAATGTGGTCTTTGTGCTCTGATGTCTAAGGCAGGTTGTAATACTTTTACCGGTAAGGTTGGAAAACCATTTTCTAAAGTATTTTTTGTAATAATAATTTTTTTGTAGATATTTATATTTAACACATCAAAACAATAGAGTTAATAAATACAGTATCATGCTGTATTTTTTAATTTACAGTCTTTTGCAAAAAAATCGAAGCACCATGAAGGAAGTGGTTGTTTTTGATCAAATTGAATATGTTCATAGCTCATACACAGGTAATAAAATTATTAAAAAAATAAAGTCATAGTACCTGTAAACGGCTCACAATAACCCATTGATTGAGTGTTCAAATTAGTAGTCGGTCGAACCAACAAAGGCAATGCATGCTTGAATTCGTCGAGGTAAGGAGTGGTAGAGGTTACTAATGTCATTCAGTGACACATTCTGCCAGGCATTCATCAGTTGTTGCTCCAGATCTGCGATATTTTGGGGTGCCCGAATCTGGTGACCTTGCTGGCCAAGGAAGAGTATCAACTGTATGGAGACAGTCCGGAGATATGCGAGCGGTATGTGGCCTGGCATTATCTTTCTGGAAAATGGCACCATGATGACGTGGCATTAAAGGTAATTCAACCACCCGCTGGATGGTATTAACATATTGTTGACCTGTTAGATATGTTTGGAGGATGACTAAAGATGACCTGCTGTCATAAGAAATAGCGACCCACACCATGTCATCAGGGGGTATGGCTGTATGCCTTTGTAAAACAAAGGCTGATTGAGACCTCTAGCCCCATCTTGTCCAGACAGGAACTTCAAGAATGAAGCGGGATTCATCGCTAAAAACTATACGATCGCTAAAAACTATCAAACAAGTGCCGTGAGAAGGTGAATGATACCACGGCAAATATAAACATGGCTGTACTGCCTTGAATAGTCGGCAGTGATACCGTTGGGGCGGTTTGGGCATGGTGAACAATTATCCTATCCTGTCTCACATTTTTGCGCCTAGGCCTTCTAGAGCCTTCATTTCGTCGACAATTTCCTTGTAGCAATAATTGCTGCCAACATCTTTGCACAGCAGTGTCTTTACGCTGCAGGTGGCGGCCTATTGCTCGGTATGACCACCCAGCTTCATGCAACCCTACAATGCGATCACGTTCTACACGTTCTAAGTCTTTAGTTGTCTGTAAGGTCTTCGATATCGTCATAATGGCATCTTTAGTTGCTTCTGTACGGAATTACAATGGCAGCAACAAAAAAAGAAGGGGGGGGAAAAAAAAGATAAATTTTCTGCCTCTGTTATTTTTATTTATTTATTTTTTTTTTTACTTTGTGAATTGCGCTCTAGAAATGCACACTATAATAGCAATTTCGTGTTCATTTGCCTTGAAACATTAATCACTTTCATGTTCGGTCAAGATGTTTTTGCATACCAAATTTCGTCACGATCGCAAAAGTCCTTCTTGGTGCTTCAATATTTTTGCAAAAGAGTGTATAACCTGGATGCAATACAGGGAAAACTGATGATTAGTGGACGGGATATCACATATTTGACCACCCGTAGGTCCATCAAAAACTGCTTACTATCAAAAATATTTTGCATTATCAAATGAAATATAGAACATATATTAATTTTCAGCAATAAAAAATGCTTTTTTTGGGGGGGGGTCAGAAATTTGATAAAAATCCAACCAAGAATGGGTTAAACAGATTACTCTTAATTGCTATGTTAGATTAAGATTATTAAATTAGATAGCGAGAGCTGATTGTCAATGTCTGTTCTGTTTTATGGTATTACTGAAGTAAAGAATGAAGTAATTCATCTGTAATTGCTTTTCCTGTTTTCTCATTGTGAGTCTATTGATTGTATTTCTGCAGGGAAATAAAAAAAAATATATATATTTAAAGTAGAGAAATAATTTTCTTTGCTTAGAATGAAAAAATCATCCCATGTGAAAAATTTTTGAGGCATTTTACTCTTTCTGGCTATCGATCCGTATGTAGAGTTTCAGATCCGTGAATTGATGGATCAATATGTTATTTATTTGTTAACCTAATTGATAAACTTCTGCCTTTATTTACATGTTTACTGATTTTTTTTTCCCTTGTGTTTTCTTGCAGCTATTAGAAGAATTATGTGCCATGGGTAGAGACCCTAGATTTATTTGTTCTAGACCTACAGCTAAAACTGAAACAGTAACAGCAGCTGTTACACGAATTGCTAATGTGTCAAATGAAGCTGGATCATCTGATGATGATGATGACGATGAAGAAGATGCTGCGAGCAGTGCCGTCCAAGGTTCTTTATCAAAAACAGCAAATGAAAGGTGCAGCACAGAAGTAAATGATGTAGGATCTAAAACTGCTGTACCTCTTGTGGATTACATTTTAAATGTGGTAAGATTATTCATAGATCACTAAATCTGTGTTGCAACCCTGCAAAAAATTGTCTTGAAACATTTTATATGTGCTATTAATCATAATTACTCTATTATTACTAATGTTTTATAGCACATATTTATATGTGCTAGTAAACATAATTACTTCTTACAGCAAACTTATCTTGTTTCCTAAATTTAGAGCATTAAATTGAATTTTATATGTAATATAAGAATGTTTATATTAGGTGTATGCTAAATTTATACATGTATAATTTTCAATATTATCGTTAATGATTGCAAAATATATGTGTGGTTTCAAGTTGTTTAAAAAAATCCCTAAACCTGATGAAGCTCATTAGTGTCTAATTAGGTTTAAGTTGTGAAACTGGTATTTACATCATAGATTCAGCTACAAAGTAACATTGGGCACATGTTGCTTTTCATGTGTAACATAAATGGAAGGCCCTTTTCTTTTCAATACATAGATGTACCAGGAAGGGTGTGTCTTCCAAGCCAAATAATAGTGCTTTTCCGTGGTTAATCAGGCAAACCAGAAATATCTTTTGTGATATATAATGATCAGGAGATTTCTTAAAAGTGGTATGGCATGGAAGGTGGAGTGTTGGTAGGGGTGAGGAATGATGAAAGAAATGAGGTATTACTTCATTTCAGTCAAATTCAGCATACCACACCTGGTAGGGATTAAGAATAGTTTTTCTGTTTGGGGGGATTAGAAATACTTAGTGTCCGTTTTCATTACAGATTTCAAAGGAGCTCTTTTAAATGAGAGCTGTATGTGTAAGTTCATTAGTTTGAGTGAAATGATTTACCATTATTGTATATGTATTACCATATTTATGTGTATACTGCTACTTCTCACATATTTCTTGTCTACCTTTTCTTTAGTGTATGCTTTAGAAACTCGATTTACTTGGAAAATTTTCAACTGTTCTTTGGATTCAGGAAGCAGCTGCTTCACAAGAATAACGATTCACAAGAATAACGAATAAAACATTTTTATTTTTCACTGTCATATTGTAAAGTTCCATTTTGGCCACATATTATACAATTTTTTGAATCTGAAAAATAAGCAAGGAATACTGCTATAAAGCACAAAGTTTATGAAACAGTTTTTAGCAGAAGCAAAATAGCTATGTAATTAATTAAAAAAGTCTTTTTAATTTTTTCCTGGCAAGAATTTGTCCCACTTATCAGAATTCTCAGTATATGCATCAGTTTTCTCTATAAAATTAATTTCACACTTTTTTTTCTCCGATTTTTTCTAAAAACATTTCTGGATTTTGCTGTTACAGAATTGGTAGGAATAATTTTTCTTTAGGATTTTAGACATTGAAGCTTGGAAAGTTTAGAAAGATTTCAAGGCAAATTTATAGACCCACGATTCTAGCAGATTCCAGAAAAATGTGATAAAATGAAAAATGGTAGTAACACGCAGTTTCTTACATTTTGGAGAACATGTGGAAGAGTAATGAAAACATAATAGTTGAATGTTTTACGTCTGATTCTAGAATCGCTTTCTTAACATTTTTGTCTTCCCTTTATTTTCTCTACTTTTCACTAGATACAAGCATAGAAAATATCAAAAGTACTTCTAATCTTACCATATGAACAGGCATTATATAAAGGAGTTTTTTTATTAATAAAGAAATTGGAAACTGACAATTCAAAATATTCGTCTAATATGTCTTAATGCATTTTACACATAGCTGATGCTAGGCATTTTGCCACCTGATGCTGTCTCTGTGGATCCTAAATTCTGATGCCTTTCTCAATTCTGCTTTCAGTGCCCGCTCTAAATTCTAAAAGTTTTGCCATTTCTAGATTTTTTTTGCTCGGTGTGTCCCTAAATTCTAAAAATTGTGCCACACCAGCTCTGTGACCAGATCTTACCATATGTATTTCATATATCTTCTGAATGTTCGTATTATTAAAGAAATAAAATTAGCCTCTTTTTCCATACATTCTAAACGCATTTAGTCTTTTAGAATAACAGAAGTCTTTAATTAAATCTCAAAAATTTTAAGTGAAAAGGAAACGTGTTGAAAAAAGAAACTAAATATGTAAAGAGAAAGAAAATTATTCTTTAGATATATTTTACAGTTATTATTATGTAAATGACCCAGTTGTTTACAGTTTCAGCCTTTATTATAATTTCCCATTTCTATTTCCTCATCAGAATGCAAATCACTTAGAGAGTTTTTAAACTGAGATTTTTGGAGTGTAAGACAGAAAGTGTGTTTCTGACCTCCGCTTGCTCCCTGCATTAGTTCCTGCCGAGCTCTGAATGATTTGTAATTATTTAGTCTTTCCATTATCTGCTGCCTGACATTTGAATTTATTATGACAATAGAAGTTATTGAACCAGCTTAAATTAAAATTAATATTAAAATTAGTTTTTTACCACTAGTCCATATTTTTAGTTTGAATTTCACTCTTTTTGTTTAATTATATCACCACAAACTGTATTTTATTTTGTTAGCATAAGAACATGCCTATATGTTCCAAGTTCTTTTTGAACAAAAAGCTTATCTGAACCTTTATTTAAATTTATTATCTGATTTATAGTTACTTTCAGACATAGCGATAATTTGTTTCACGTCTGTCGGGGGGGGGGAAGTCGGACTGTTGAACTTTTACCAGATCAAGTAAACCTTCATAGGTAGTACATTGTGGATAGGTTGGCAATTAGGAGATAAAACACGCAGAAACTAATGAAAAAATTGTTTTCCATATTGAGACAAATTTCTAATTGTTAGAAAACATGCTTAAGGTGAAGGAAATTGATATAAATTAGTCAAAATGTCTGGGCAGGTCTTCAACTTAAAAAGACACATAATTATTTTGTTGAGTTTTATGTTTTGTAGCTTTTAATGTGTAATTATCCTAATATTGTTTAAAAGTCAATGTCATAAATTGCATGTATTTTAAACTGTGAAATTGTATGATATTGTGATATTAATAGGGCTTTTTTAACAAAAAATAAATTTAATTTAATAGTGGCCATGTAAATCCATAATGACTAAGGTTATCTAATAATTAATTTAATTATAACTAAATGCATTCCCTTAAAAATTATCTCTCTATATTAAAGCAAGTTATTGCCTTTCGTTAACACGCTGAGCCTGGCGTAGGTTCCTGGGGACCGGCACTGGAATATTCGTTTGGCTGGCATCGGTCCACGGGACAACACTATTAAAGTTAAAAAATAAGTATAGTCTCAATGAAATGCGATCAAATGTAGTTTTAATGAAATTTATTGATACATTCTAAATAAAAATACGTCTTAGCTTGACACATATTACATTACGAAACAACTATTTTGGTAACATTTTTGGCTATCTTGCATCCGAATAGTTTTTAATTGTCATCATAACATTTCAAACAATACTTTCAGACTTTATGTGCATCTCCTTCCTTTTTGTATGATTTATGAATAATTTAAGTTGGCAATATTGCTCCGCTTGATCGCTCGCTACTGGCTGAACGGAAAGGACAGCAAATTTGGCGCCGGGCTCAACGTGTTAACCTTTATCATGTTCACAAGGTAAAACACAAAAATATAAAAATTTGCGTGAAACTTTTTCTTTGCACCTAGTGAGACTTATTGCAAAAGAACTCATCACCGCTAATGCTTTAGTGGCTTAACCTTAAAGTATATTAACTGAGTTACAACCCCTAGAACTCTACACGACGCTATGACATTAACAGCGTCAGACAGAGGTCAGCTAACTTTCAAAACTTGCTTGACTGTGCCCGCAACAGGCCTTTCAGGTTTGTTGTGATCAGCAGGTTTCTCTATAGGCAAGCAGGAGTGGTGACAAGAACCAGTCCTTTGTTATGAATTATGCTGATTATGATTTTAATGCTCATTTTAACTTATGCTGTTTGACATAAAATCTACTTTCTATTTACTAAACCTTTAGACTGAGCAAGTATGTGACAAAATGAGACATTAAGAAAGAAAGCTAACTGTTAGTAAAACGTAACTAAAATGTCACTTATCTTCTTTTAAATATGTCCAGTTATTATAATTGTAAAATATTTAATGCTACTTGTCAAATATCGTAAAATTAATTTTATTCTCAAACGAATTAATAATTATGTTAATTAAGTTATGTTTAATGATAATATATCCTACTCACGTTCAGGCACAGATATAATATTTTTAATTGAATTTATTGTTTCCATTTGCTCATAGGTCCTTAATTTTTTTCATTAATGGTCCTTAAAAGTACTTAATTTCCGTGTGCAGAAATGTGTACGAACCCTGATAAAGAAAAAAAAATTATTCTTGAAAGATATGTACAGTTATTATTATTTAAATTACCCAATTGTTTACAATTTCAGCCCTTGCTATAATTTCCCATTTCAATTTTCTCACCAAAATGCGAATCACTTAAACAGTTTTTAAACTGAGGTTTTTGGAGTGTAGGACAAGATTGTGTTTCTGACCTCCACTTGCTCCCTGCATTAGTTCTTGCCAGCTCTGATAATTTGTAATTATTTGTCTTTGCATTACCGTTGCCGACATTTGAGTTTGTTATGATGATAGAGTAATTGAGCCAGCTTAAAATGAAATTAAAGTGTATAGTCTTTGACCATATTTTTAGTTTGAATTTGACTCTTCCTGTTTCATTACATCACTACGAGCTGTAATTGATTTTTGTTAGCATAAGCCTTTATTTTTTTAAGTTCTTTTTACATAAGAATCTTATTTAAACCTTTGTTGGACACTGTAGTTACTTTCAGACATAACGATAATTTGCCCTGAAGTAACTATGTGCCGATTTTTGATTTTATAATGCTTCGAAGGTAGGTGAAGATCGAAAAAGTAGTTGCATATGATAAGCACGATGAGACAATGATGGGCATATCCAATAGGAAAGTCCATGGCGAAAAATTTGAGAGTCAACAGATATCAGTGTGCTATGGCTGTAACCGATTGACCAAATCAGGCAGAGTGAAGTGCAAGTAAGGAGATAGCGGTAGAGAGCAAAGCATAAAATTAAATGCCAGTGATTGCATAAGAGTCTGAGAGTCTATGTCTGTTCCATAAGTAAATAGCTAAATCTGACTAACGGCGTCAGACAGAGCCCAGCTAACTTTCAGAACTTGCCAACCGTGACTACATCAGGCCTTTCAGGTTTATTCTGATCAACAGGTCTCTCTGTAGGTAAGTAGCAGCAGTGACAACAGCCAGTCTTTTGTTGTGAATCATGCTGTTTATGATTTTACTTCTCATTTTAACATATGCCACTTGACATAAATACTGCTTACTATTTACTAAAGCTCTAGACTGAGCAAGTATGTGGCAAAATGAGATATAAAATAAACATAAAACTGTTAGTAAAACGTAATTAAAATGTCACTTATCTCCTTTCAAATATGTTCAGCTCTTATAGTTGTAAAATATATAATACTCTTTGATAAATTTCATATATTTTATTCTCAGACTTAATAATAATTATGTTAATTAAGTCATGTTTAATAATAATGCATCCTACTTAGGGATCTATTTTATTTTGAGGATGCTATTACAAAAGTGAAGTTCCAGGCATAGATAATATTTTTAATTGAATTTATTCAGTTCCCATTCGCTCATAGGTCCTTAATTTTTTCGTTAATGGTCCTTAAAAGTATTTAATTTCCGTGTGCAGACATGTGTATGAACCCTGTTTTTCATAGAGTCCTCTGCAATGGCATGCCTTTCCCCTACGCCAATATCCCTATTGAGCTATTGGCTTAGGGAAATTGCTGTAATCAGATAAACCAGATAATGCCTTTTCTAAGGCTGTGATTTGTCATGAGCTGTCATATAGCAGAGAAATGTACCATCCAAACCTCGTAAGATGTTATTTTATGATTGATTTTGTGTACTGTAATTTAAAATATTTGCAAAGTTTGTTTAAACCCAAGTATCGTTACTATTATTACTTAATTGTATTATTAATAAATCAGATAATAAGTAATAAATACTATTATTACTTAATTATATTAATAAATCAACATTTAGCTGTATATGTTGAATTAGTTTTAGCATATTTTTTCACTTTAAAAAAAAATGTTTTCCCATAGATGAGATTTGTAGATGCCATTCTAAGTAATAACTCTACTGATGATCACTGCAGAGAATTTGTGAGGCAGAAAGGATTGGTTCCTCTGATGGCTATTTTAGGTCTACCAAATTTACCTATTGATTTTCCAGTGACTCCTACTTGTCAAGCAATTTCTAGTGTTTGCAAGTCTATATTGGTATGTTATGGTTTTTTTTCCTTATTGATAGTACTTAAAAAAATAATCATTAATCACCCAAAAAGACCTGAAAACTAATGGAATATGAAGGAAAATCAGAACTTTGTCAAAACTCAGATTAGCCCTGACAAATAATAGAAAACTAACATTTTAAATAGTACATAGTAAACAAAAATTATCCCCCCCCAACTATAAAAAAAGAAGTTAGTGAAAGATTTATTGTAATGTATATTTTTCTAGCAGAAGGAAAAGATTTATTGTAATGTATATTTTTCTAGCAGAAGACATTGCGCAGACCTCTAATCTCAGAAAATTTATCAATACTGTTCCTTTCTTTAGCGAGCTATTCACTCGTTACAAGTTTAATAACAAAAATAGTGCAAGTTATGTTTACCGTATGAAATCACTACATTTTTGTGGTTGTGCCTTATAATAAATTATTTTATTAGTTATTCAATCTATTCAATTTTATTAAAAATATCAGAAGTAATATATATTATATGAATTATGCTATGTTATTTTCTGCCACAAACATCTTTTCCTAGAATCTGGCATTTTTTTAAGGCCTATCCAGTTTTTATAATAATTAATATGCATTTTCTATGTTCTTTCATTTGCTTTACAGGCATTAGTTAAATAAATTTTTGTGGTGTTTTTAGTTATTGGATTGATTGCATTTTGTAGTTAACATGTAAACTCATTTGTTCACACTTAATTAGATCACTGGCTTTATATCTTAAATATTTACATAGTCTTAACATATACACTCTTTTGCAAGAAAAATCGAAGCACCAAGAAAGACTTTTGCGATCGTGATGAAATTTGATATGCAAAAATATCTTGATTGAACCTGCAATCGATCAAAGTTTGAAGGCAAATGAGCAGGAATTGCGATCATAGCCCGCAATTCGCAAAGAATATAACAAGTAACAGAGGCAGAAAATTTATCTTGTTTTGTTGGTGCCATTGTAATTCCGTGAAGAAGCAACTAAAGATGCCATTACAACGATATCCAAGACCTTACAGACAACTAAACGACTTCGAGCATGGTCACATTGTAGGGTTGTGTGAAGCTGGGTGATCAAGGACGTCGCAGGGCGCAATGAACTGGAACACTATCCTCATCTTCAGGGCAGATGTTTTTATTTTATTCGGCTTATAATTCCTTACTGAATGTAGTATTTATTCTCAATGTACTCCGTTTTTGATATGATTTAAATCAAATTCCTCATCATTATAAATATCACGAATACACATCAAATAATTTTTTGGTTGCAATTTTCTAATTTCGACTATGCGTAAAGCATACATTACGCATACAATATTTGCTTATTTTATTAAACATTTCTTTCAACGCGCACATGTGTAAAGCATACATTACGCATGTGCGCGTTGAAAGAAATGTTTAATAAATTAAACAAATATTGAGCTTTTTTTTTTTTTTTTTTGTAAATTTTGAAACCCTTTACATCATAATTGCTCTTTATTTCATAAATTACAGTTTTTATATTTTTAATTTTATAATTTCTGCATGCCATTCTACCAGATTTAAATTGATGATCTATAATCCGGAATCGCCGAAGTCACGACGAGTCTGGATTAAAGACTTTTGAGTGTATATACCGGGTGGCCATAATTAAACTGACAATGCTCACAGTGTTTTGTAGCGCGATCTATTTGCGAGAATGACGCCACATTTTCTAGGAAGATTAAACAAGAGGGGGGGCGAAGGATTCCGCGAAGAAACAAATTAGTTCCAAAAGTCACCGCTAGGGGAATATTTGACGCTGTGTAATAGAAAATAGTGTTAGCAAATGCAAATCATTACGGAAATTATATTTTATGTTGCATTCAAATGCGGTTCAATGTGGCTGCCGTTGTTGTGGACCACATATTGCATTCTGTGCATAGTGTGCACAACAGCAGAAAGTGACATATCTGCAGGAATCTCCCGTACAGTCCGTGATATGTTATCCTTCAACGTAGTCAGGTCCTGGACCACTCCTTGATAGACCTTGGACTTAAGGCAACCCCATAGCCAGAAGTCGCATGGGGTAAGATCAGGCGACCGAGGTGGCCATGCATTTGGAAAGTAGCGGCTAATGACTCTTTTTGTTCTGAATTTGTGTCGTAGCATCTCTTGCACCCGTACAGCAACCTGTGGAGGGGCCCCATCTTGCATGAAAATTATTTCCCCCTGTTATTGTCTTTGCTGAAGTGCCGGAATGACAAAGCTGTTCAACATGTGGCAATATTTCTCTCTGATAACAGAACAGGTTTCCGGTCCTGTTGGGGTAATGTTCTAATAGAAGAATGGACCTACGATAAATTCCGCTGTGAACCCACACCAAACAGTTACCTTTGGTGAATGTAAGGGAATTGCTGTGACTGCGTGTGGTGATTTGTCATCCCAAATTCGACAGTTCTGGGTGTTCACAGTTCCATTTAGGTAAAAGTGGGTCTCGTCTCCCCATAAGATTTTCCACGGCCAAGCATCATCCACCTCCATTCTGGCAAGAAAGGATGAGATCAAAAGTCAATCGCTTATCATGGTCGGGGTACAGTAACTCCTCTACGCGGCTGAACTTGTATTGATAATCTTTCGTAAGATTTTCCATACCGTACTGTAAGGCATATCCATATTCCGAGCTACTCCACGAGCGCTAGAGGTGGCAGCAATATTGTCTGGTCCTCTGTCGACAATCGCCGTGGCAACTGCTTCGATTGTATCCTGTGGTACAGGTTTTCGTCCTCTGCCTGACTGAACCTTCAGAGAACCTGTTTTCTCAAATGTTGCAACCATTGCTTTTAGCCCATTAACTGACACAGGACCGTTACCTTTACGCATTTTTTTTTTTTTTTTTTTTTTTTTTTTTTTTTTTTTTTTGTGTGCGTTCTAAAAGCACAAAGAGCGGCTGACACGTTGCACTGGTTGAGGTAAAAGAATTTGACCGGCAACGCATGCTCGACTAAAAAAGGAGACGTAGCACATAAACTTTCAATCCGATTGATTCGAAATGTAACGCTTTGCCTTTTAAAACCCAAGCAGCTGGCACTGTGCGAATGGATGTAACGTGAAATTTGAATAAAGAATTTCTTCTGCTCAGCGTACGTGATATTGCAGATCACGAGACTTTACTGGTTTTTGGTGTTTATGTAGATTTTACGCTTTTTTTTAAAGTGTTGCCATATTGCACTTGAACTAAATCAGAAAATATGCATAATAAAAGGTAATTTTATTCTGTATTAATTTGCATTTGTTAACACTCTATTTTCTATTACACACCGCCAAATATTCCTCTAGCGGTGACTTTTGGAACTAATTTGTTTTTTCGCGGAATCCTTCGTTCCCCGTCTTGTTTAATCTTCCTACAAAATGTGGCGTCATTCTTGCAAATAGATCGCGCTACAGAACACTTTGAGCACTGTCAGTTTAATTATGACCACCCGGTATATATGCATACCTGCCAATCTCTGACACTCAAAAATCAGTATAATTTTTTTAAAAAATCGGGAGGTTTTTCACAATATTAAAGACTTTTTAAATGATAAAAACATAGTTTTTAATAATGAATTAACTTTAAATAGTAACTAATTCTTAAATGCAAGCAACACAAAAATACCTTACACATAAAAAACATTTTTATTACTTGCATCGTTTAAGGGGAAAAAAAAAGGACACTTTTGTACAATTACTTTTGTACAGTGCACTTTTGTACAGTTTTTGGTACAAGTGTTATAAATAGTGGCAGATTTTTCTTTCTTTAAGAAACTTCATAATTTTGTTCACAGCAATTGCCACGTAGGCCTGCTTTCGCTAATAAAAGTTTTTCTAATGTCTCATCACTAATATTAGATCTAAATTTAGTCCTCGATTTCGCAACAACACTGAGAATCCTCTCACACTCTGCATTATTATAGGGAACTGTCAAGATGGCCAACACAATTCTAGACAGTTAACTATACTTTAAAATTCCATCAGCATCTTTCAGTTTTCCAGTTAAACTCCACTGGGTGTCAATCCTAGCTGATTTTATAATTTCATCCAAGTTTTCTAATTGTGAAGTGCTGTTATGCAGCTGTTGGAACTGTTTTTTTTTTTTTTTTTTTTTTTTTTTTTTTTTAAACACTCATGTTATTTTTGTGTTTTCGTGTATGCACATGTTTGAGAACATCCGCCCTTCCACCATGCGAAATCGAAAAATTGCAACGACAGGCGGTATGCATCGCAAATTTATTACATTTCCTTGAGGAAATAATGGAAGGAAAGTCAACTGTGAACGATTTTTGAAACATACACGAGTATTTCACCTTTCTCGCAGATGTAACAAAAAATGATAATTTCTAAAACTGTTTCCCCAAGGCACGTCTACTCACACAACTCAGGACAAAATGAACAAAATAACTAAAGAACATCCAAATAACAACTTGCTTCGTCCTCATTGGCTAATATATGCCAGCTGACATGCAGTGGAGCTCGATGCCCATTGGAGAACTGAAGAACAACGTTTCTAGCTACGTATAATGCTCTCAATCACAAAGCAGAAGTTATCTAATTCACATGCTTTTGTTTTAGATATAATGTAGAGAAAATTCAATTGTTTTCAGACGTCCAAAAGCACTTTTTTTTATTCATATAACAGTATGAACAGTATGAAAGTATGAAGCCAAGTTGCATAAAAATCGTGAGAAATTTTAAGAATAAGAAACAGTCGAGAGAAATACATTGTAAATCGGGTTGGCAGGAGAGCGGTCGAAAATCGGGAGTCTCCCGCCTAAATCGGGAGAGTTGGCAACTCTGTATATGATACTTAAGTCTGCTTAGATTATAATAATGTAATTACAATATAAACAATTATACATTCTAATTGTACATTTAAAAGTGGCTGCTGGTTTCATGAGTATTTATTTTTGCGAGTTGTTATAAAATGTTTCAAAATAAGATAATTGTATGAAAATGGTTTGAACTCTAGATGGGGCAGATTCTGTAAAGCCTAACCCTTTTCTTGATCAGCCCCTTTTAAAAGAATGGTTTCTTTAATGACCCCCCCTTACAGTTTTCGCTAATGTGCATTACACAACATAATCATAATACAATTAATTGCATATAAAAATATTATAATATGAACAAAAGATTTGAAAATGATTAGATTTATGTTGTATTATTTTTGTCTTTCAATTTTTAATGTTACAAATGTAAACAAATTTTTAGGTAAACAAATTTTTAGAAACAAAGTCATGAATTTGTATTTTCACTAAAGTTCAAATTACTGTGCTTTTGAAGTATTGATGCAATATTTTAGTATTTGGCGTTAAGTTGCATAATTCTTAAATCTCCCTCTTTAAAAATATTCTGCATGTTTCCCCTTCCTCAGCCAAGTATATTATTGACTTGACTAAAGCTTGCTTGCACTACGTAAGAAGAGGGGAAATCTCAATAATGTTGGTTCAGCAACAGCTTTTCTTTTGGACTATTTCTCGTGAATGGTTTTTAAATTCCAAAATTTAGCATCACGTTATGTTTTGAATAAAATTTTTGCTTTAACGTCTTCCATTAATGGAATGCTTTTTTCTTGCATTGTAATATCAGGACCAGATGTATTGCATTTCATTGATTCTGTAACCTTTGCTAGGCCAACAGATATTCAACATCTTTGAACAAACATTACAATATTTTAAATTTTGCTAGTAGCGTGTATATAACAATATATCTTCTGAGAAAACACAATCCTTTTCAATAATGGGCAGTTATATTAAGTTAAATTAATGGAAAGCCTTTTGATTCAGTGTCAATATAAACAAGTCAGTTTTATATGACTTGTTTATATAATAAATAAAATGAAGATAATCATTTTTCAGTGAAATAGATGTCTCTTTGCAGTTTTTTGCAGCATTAAACAATGCATATTTTCAGCTTTATATCAATCAATAATTATCAATTTTAATTTGTAATCAGTACAATCTTGTCTATGCTGATTTATTGCCAGTCCATATTCTGGTTTTGACACTTTAATCATCATTGACTCTCTTTAAAATTCCATCAATCCCGTGGGGAGGGTCAGTACCAAGCCCACTGGAAGTCTCTGTTGTGGCTTGAACTTACACAGAAATTTTAAATAATGGTTAATATTTTATTTGTTTTTGTTGTTTTGGAATGGCAACAAAAAATTATTAATTTGTGTTCTAAAAAAATTTTTTTTGTGGTTCCTAAGAGCTAACCCTTTGCACTTAGGGCCTTTTTCGTGCGGCGCACCAGCAACTCGAGAGGTTTCGCAGCTTTTTTTCTTAACAGTAGCTTAAAATCATTACACATTCAAATTAATGTATCAAGTTTTTATATTTTAACATTTTATATATTTTTACACCGTTATAAACATAATTTCTTAAATATTAGTGTCTGCAATTTTTCTGTGTATGATATTTCATGTAACAGTTCCCAAGATGCATGCCTGGCTTGTCGAGGGGAGTAGTACAATACTATGTCATTTGGTACTTTTTTTTTACGGTTCATTTTTCCGAGAACAAACAGACTTTGTGAGTGTTCTACTACTTATATTTTTTGTTTTGTAGGAAAATTTATATGTTTACAAAACCCTTGCGTTCATAACATAAAAACTGTTTTCATAAATTCTCCACTAAATGTAACCCTTTCATCATAGTGTGTTCGTCATTTTTCCTGAATATGCTTGCAGAAGTCTTGTTGGATTGGCATTTAAATTTTGTGCAGCTACTATTTTTTCATAAATTTATGATTCAATTTTCAACTTTGTGGTTTTTCATTAATATAAAATGCTACATTTTTATAAATTTTATACTCAATAAAATGTATTTAAGAAATACATATCTAGGATTCAGTATTTCCTGTAGCCATCTTTAGCACTGTGTGTATGTATTATCTGTTATTCATATGTATGTTATCTTTTATTTAGAATCTTGCTCATGAACCTCAGGTTTTAAAACAAGGTTTACTGCATCTTAATGAAGTATTGCAGTGCTTAGAGCAATTACATCGGCCATTAGATCCTCCTGGGGGAAGTGTATTGCTAGAAGAACTAATCAATGCTCCTAATGTAAATGAAGCTACGTTGAGTGCTCAAGCTACACCCTTGTTACATTATATGGCTGCAGCACATGCTTATATTATAATGTTTGTTCATGTGTGTCGTACTGGACAAGTAAGCAAATAATTGTTTTCCTTTAATCATATTTTTTTAATATTTTATGTTTAAAAGTATCTTTTATGAAATAAATTTACTACATATGTCTTTATGAATTAAAAATATTCCTTATAAACATGAATACATTTTTCTCTGCCTAATTTTCCCAGAGATAATAGGAAAATACAAAGTCATTTCACTCAATTTGTATAGAGTGAAATGACTATAGAATGAGCAATAGTATAGAATGAGCTGGCTGCATGGGTGTTTTCATGTTTTACCCATACACAGAGAAAAAGAAAACCACTTTCCTTCAAAAGCCCTCCCTCAAGGCAGATGATGCATAGTGTTAGAATGCTTTCTATAGTTCTTTTATGTAGCTTCTGTAGGGTAATAGTTTACTTTAATCAAGTTTAATTAATAGTGAACATTAAATGAGATTTGAATATTATTCTTTTGAAAACGTATAACTGTTAACAATGCATTTAATTTCTTTTGTTAGAGTGACATAAGGACAATATCAATCAGCCATTGGGGTTCAGAACTTGGATTAAGTGTGCTAAAGGGATTAAGTTCCTTGTATACATCTTTGGTCTGGGAAAGTACTGTTTTACTAGCCCTCTGTAGTAATGATAATGCTCTTGCTGAAGACTGTCAATTTGGACGTCAGCAGCTTGAAAAACTAATGCCTAAAGATAAGGTTAGTTATTTCAGTTTGTTGTATTTAGAACTTTATCTTGATTCAAATATTTTTACTTTTTATGTTATAAACATTTAAATTGGTAGCAGCAAAATTAACCTGTGAAATCGCAAAGTATTTTTTAGTTTTGAAAATTTATGTATTAGGTTGTCCAGAAAATAATGTGGGTTCTTGACATATCTTTAAAGTATCATAACTCAACTCAAAAGCAATTTTATTAATCAAAATAAGCAGCAGCCGAATCAATGCATCTTTGCCAATGAGATATAAGTTTATTTATGCTGGTAGAATAAAATTCTGGAGTTCTGGACGCGATAAAGTTGTCAAAGGCGTTTTTGACATTGTCTTGGTTTCTGAAGCATTTCTTATGCAGAATGTTATCCAGATGTTTGAAAAAGTGGTAATCGGTCGGCGAGAGGTCAGGCGAATATGGTGGAAGAGGGTCAGTTGCAGGACGTGTGGCCGAGCATCGTTGTGGAGAACTGGCCGCTTTCTGTTGACCAATGCAGAGCACATGCGCTGTAATCTTTGGTGCATTTTGTTGATTTGTTGACAGTACTTGTCTACCGTAATTGTTTCACCCAAGATTTAGGAAGCTGTAGTGGATGAGACTGGCCTCAGACCAAAAACAGTCGCCATAATTTTCTTTTGGTGCAAATTTGGCTTTGAAAAGTGTTGTGGTGTCTGACTGTGGTCCAACCACTGAGCTGAGTGTCGCCAGTTGTTGGACAGAATCCGCTTTTCATCGCATGTAACAATTCGATCAAGAAAAAGGTCATTTTTGTTGTGGAGAAGAAGACCAGACGATACTTCAAAACGGCGATTTTTGTTTTTTTTTTTTAAATTATTTTCGTTCTATTCATAAGGCACCCACTCATCAAGCTTCTTTGATTTTACTATACGATGCACACGATCAGAAATTGTTGTTTTTCTTATGCCAAGCTCTCGAAGAATTATGCATGGGCTTATTTCAACTAGTCATCAAATCATCGTCATTAACAGCTAAGGAGCGTCCACAATGCTCTTGATCTTCCAGGTCAAATTCTCCATGACGAAACTTTTAGTATCACCATTGAACTTTAGATTCATTAGCACTTTTCTAGCCCCATACTTCGTTGACATTTCGAGCTGTTTGAGCTGCACTGAGGCCTAGCTTGTTCTCAGAAAAGTAAATTTGCAGAAAATCCCGTTTTGACATCTAAATAAAAACATGTAGTGAATAATTTTGGAACAAAATGAGTATTATAGAAATATAGAGTGAAAATAGAGCTTCAAAATGATATATAAACCAATGTAATTCAAAATATTTTTGTTGCTAAAAATGTACAGGAAAGAGTAGCAATTGCAAAAACCTGCATTATTTTCCGGACAACCTGATACATTCAAAACGTGGTACTCTAATAAATTTGTGTGACCTCTTCAAAGGATCAAATATACTTCAAGTAACATTTCATGTAAACTAAAAATACAGGTACTGGTCTTAGCAGTTCTTCATGTAAAGTCATTAGACATTGGTTGTATGCATAATTTGCCATTTGTTTCATATGCAGATTATCCAAGATGTGATACATTATCTCCAGGTGGTGAATGCTCATGGCATCTTATGGATAGGAAGCGATGCTTTACATATCTCAATTCTAGATAAACTGTTGTGGCACGTGGAACAAATGGACTCCCAATGGTCGTAAAATGATGAAATTCCATTAAACCTTGAAGGATTATCCAAAAGAGAGGACTATTATATCAGATCATGTCCATTCGAGTACTGTTGAAGTATACTTTCCTATTCCATGCAAATTTTATGATACTGTCACAATACGACAGGGTTGCCACGCTACCTGCAAAACCGGAAAAAGTCAGGGAATTCGGAAATTGACCAACAAATTCAGGGAAAAGTCAGGGAATTTAAGTGTTTTAGTCAAAATCTGGAAAAGTCAGGGAATTTCATACAACGATCCTGCCAAAAAAGACGAGTTTTGCGCTGACGTCGGAAGAGATCACTTTTTTGGCGAATTGTGTATCGCATGAGTGTCATTCGGGCAGCTGGCATAGAGCCAATTTTTGCAGCTCCAATTTGATTGTCTTTTTAGAAAGGAAAGCAAGTTTCCCGCAACTTTTGGTTTCCAGTAACCTTGAGAATCGCATGTGCAGTGCATGAACTAAAGAAAGTACCTGTTCTCGTATAAAACAAAATGGGTTTAATCCTATTATACGGTACCATGAAAGGTTAAAATTAAAAAAAAAATATGTATTGTAAAGAAAGAAAACCTCTCTGCAACAGCCATGGCTCGGTTCCATCATAGCGGGAAACAGCTGTGCATGCGCGATATATCTGTCGCCAAAGCTCGAAACCGGTGTCGAAGTTCGAAGGTCACATTATCAAGAGTTCATAAAATGAATATCGTTTAAAATGTCTTTAAACTCTAAAGGAAAAGAAAATATTTTTTGGTGCAAGTAAATTAATTCATAGATTAGTTATTGAGGGGGGGAGGGAAAAATTTGAGGGGGGGGAATCTACGAAAATCCGTTTTTAAAATTATTGCGAAAAATCCAAGAAAAAAACGTTCTTTGATAAAACGTTTCTTCTTGGATTTTTGCAATAATTTAAAAAACGGATTTTCGTAGTTTTCTTTTTGTCAAAGAACGTTCTTCTTAACACGTGTTTCTCAATTTCCTGTACACATCGCGGAGAGGGAAATTCTGGCCGTTCCGTCGTCAAATCCCTTGGCAAATTTTCCCTCTGCTTTTTACATAGACGTTCTTTGGTCAGAATAAGCTCCATGTATGGTACAGCGGGATTTGGCGACATGATGATGAGCAGTAAACGGGTCATTTTGTTCTTGGCGACAATTTTCAAAATCATGCAAAGGCCGTATCGTAATACTAAAATTGTACCGCAACCTCTTTTTTTTTTTTTTTTTCTTTTTTTTAATAAATACCTTGTCATTTTGCATTAAAATAAAAAATAGTAATCAATCATCTAGGCTAACTATGTAATATAACTATATTCGCTAAAATATTCGTTGATTATTCTAATTCAATTTTTAAGTAATTATCTTTATTTTTATGTTATTCATATCATTTAATGTTGCTTCTTCCCTCTAAATTTATTTATCATTAGTAAATAATATTTCCAAATTTCAGGAAATTTTCTCTGGCATAATCCTGAAATTAATTCTAGCAGTATGATGACATCATGAAATTTAATGCACATATTTTTTCCTTATGTATGCTGCGAAATAAATATAAAATACCTCAATTTAGTAAAAAAAATATCATTAAATAGATTTCTTTCTTTCGTTTAGCTGCAGAATGTTTGCAAAAAAAAAAAAAAAAAAAAAAAAAAAGCCTTATTTTATTCCAGACTGGGCAGATTCTAATCTCAATCTTCAGTGGAGAAAACAACTCCTATTATAATTATATTTGTGTTTTCAAGTGTTAAGGTGCCTTTTAAGAATAAACCTCACACAAATTAAATTTACCTAAAATCTAACCTAACTTTTAGCATTGCGTTGTGATTTATAAGAACCGAATTAGCCTCGTGTTAAACTGGGGATGATCATGAGTAATAACTAAATAAAACGTACAGTTGTTATCCAATGTATATATCTTAAATTTTATTAAGATTTTTAAGCGGAAAAGTAAACAAAATTATCAAACAAAGTGTACCAAGAATAATTAAGTGAATTTGCTACACAGTACAAGTAATACCATAATTAATTTACCTCTTAGCACAGCTAACGTACATTATGCGGATAGACTGGAATTTTCTCGAAGAAAACCGGGAAAAGTCAGGGAATTTCGTTCTCCTGTTTGAGTGGCAACCTTGATACGAGTGTGACTGTTATCAGCAAGGCATTAATATTAAGTGCATTGTGGTCATCAGATATCGCCACAGGCAGAATGAAACTGAGTGAATAGTGTTATCTACCAGGATCCTGATTTTAGTAAGATTATGATTGCATATATTGCAGTGGTCCTAGAAATGCAAACCTTCATGTGACCGTTGTTTCATGAATGCAAAAAATGTACCCAACACTAGGAAGAGAACAAAGTAAGAGGTATGCTGTATGGATACAAGAGACATCGACTGTTGAATCTCTTGGACTTTGAGAAAGGCCTTGGTTGATCAGTACACCTTGCTATATAGACTGTTTTCTACATATAATGTGTATAAAGGAAATTTTGATGCGTCTTCTGGCTGGTTGACTCGTTTTAAACAGCGACATCAAATTTGAGAAATTGGACTTCATGGGGAGACTATATTAAGCATAATAAGCTAAAATATCAATCATTAGTTAAACATTTCGTGCTGTTTATTTTACGTTTTATTGTACATATAACGAATTTTCAAAGTTGGAATGACTGTTTTCTCTTTTGCTATACCCATTTTTAGCTTTTTTCGGATTATCCACTGTTATCTGCGGCTGCCACACCACCCAATTCCACGGATAATCGAGAGTGCACTGTATTTTCTGCTACTCATTAATTATCAGCTAATTCACTCCAGTCCCTTTTTCAAGGTAACCTAACCTCATAATAATCATCTTTAAAACAAACTAATTTAATATTTCGTACAAGGAAGTCGTGGTGTAAACATTGGATTCTTTTATTCTTCGGATTGTATTACAAAAGTGAAGTTCAGCCATTGGTAATGTCTTTAATTGTGAAAGGTCGTTAGTTTTTTTCATTAGTGGTCCTTAAAAGTCCTTTATTTCCTTCATTAAAAGAAATCAAAATGGTGAATTCATTAAAAGAAATCAAAATTGAAATTTTGTTTGCTAAACATAATAGATTAGTATAGCACTTGTTTCTAATTGCATACTTTCTATCATTTTATGAATTTCTCATTTTATATGTAAGTATAGTATAATATGTATTTAGTACATTTTCCTAGTGTACATTAACAGTTAAACTTAGATTTATTGATGTTATCAACAAAAGTACACTGGTTGTTTGTCAGAAGTCTTCTTAAAGAGCAAGAGTATTCTGTATAACCTGGAGATAAATAGTGTGCAGCAGAAAATATTGAAATAGGAAAGCCATAATAATGTTGGATATCAAAAAGATATCTCAAATATATCTTTTATTCCCTTTTCTGAATTATTTCTGGTATTAAAGGAACGTTTAAATTAAGAAGAATTTGGGCCTTCTAAAAAGTTGCTGTTGAGAATTCTTTATTTGGTTATTGTACATTTTAACGCTGATTTGATTTCATCGCATGTATCCACTTGTCCTGCACATTGCGTCAAGCACTATGTAAACTACTTTTTATTAACATTAAACCAGGTATTATCTCGAATGTTCGTAATGTTGTCCAGAATTTATTGATACATGTCGTAGTGAAATTAACGAACCATGAAATTTTTATCATCACTTGATGGTATTTAACATAATTGACATTCGCTTATCCATATGATACTTCTCGCGAGTTCCAGGTAATATAAGCAACAGCAAATGGTGTGCTAGTGAAATATAAACAAAAGGAATTTGGAAAACTCTCATACCCTAACCTGAAGCTCTAAAATGTTGACCAATTCTGTGAAATTTATTGATCTGAAACTGGCAGGTATTTGATTGGCTTTGAGAAATACTGCTGTTTATTTAACAATTTGTCTATAAAGGTATTTGCTTATTGTTTGTATGAGAGAAATGAAGCATGAGCTAGTAATCTTTTTATGGAGTGCTGCAGTTAACTGCTGTTCAGTAACAAAAGGTATTGTAATTAATGGGCAGGTAACATGCAGGAATGGATAGATATGGAACAGCCACATGTCCATGGTCTGTTAACCACCAAGTAATGCCTCTTTTCTACTTAAGCATCTAGAGTTCAGCCACTCAAGAGCTGGCGTAAGTATTCACACCAAACATCTAATTGCAGGTTAGTCCACAGGAGCTGCCAGATGTGCCACCTCTGATGTCCAGTGGGCACCTCAGTAATGACCAGCTGCAGTTTTTTGGTTATGGAAAAGGTTGTTCACATTTACATTGTTGCTTTGGTACAGTAAGACCCCGCTTAACGCTGTTTCGTTTAGCACTGTTTCGGTTTAGCGCTCTTTTATTTCAACCCGGGGATTCCACAAAATCGCTCGCAGCATACGGGGACTCCCCGAAATATTATGCAGCGATAGGTTTCAAATACATATCCGAAAGAGTCTACTTGTATTTCTTGTTTGGTGCGGCATTGTACAGACATATTTTGAAGGGGTAAATGTGGAAGAGAAGAAATAATTCAAGAAGCAGCGGCTAGTCTTTGTAATGATGAGCTCAAGGAATTAACTGAACAAGAAGAAAACAAAAATGTTGACAGCAGTGATTCAGAAGAAGAGCAAAAAGAACTTTCGATGGCGTTTGTAAAAAGGAGTTTGTCTACCATAACCGAAATAATGGATCAATTCATTGAAAATGATCCGAATTTTGACAGGAGCTCAAAAGTAAGGCATGGTGTTAAAGATGCTCTATCCGTTTATGAAGAACTTTTAAGAGAACAACACAAAAGAAAAAGGCAAACAACATTAGATGCTTTGTCACAAAAGGCAGAACACTGAAAACGCGGAAGGCTAACTAAATATGACTGACTTAGAATTTTATTTATTTTTTTTTTAAGAATATTCGTTTTGTTATTTATATTTTGTTTTTATTTTTGCAAGAAAAATAATGTGGTATTAATTTGGGCTTTAAGAAATAAATGTTTGGTTTTATTTTTATTAAAAAACATACTTTTTAAATTTAATACCTAACCAATTTCCTAGCCATCTTCCCCTAACCCCAATATTTACATGTAAAGATAGCCTCGTTTAGCGCTGTTTCGCATTACGCTCTACTTTGATGGAACGTATCCCCCGCGTGAAGCGGGATCTTACTGTACATTGATCAAGATCATTCATTTTGAATTACAGTGATTAAAAAAAATAGACCTTAAACAATATAGTCCCAAACACTCCTAATACATTCAGTTTTAAATAACAATTACTGTCAGAATAAATAGTAAAAAAAAATAAAATTTCATACTAAATACAGTCTCTTAATACTGTCTTAAAAATGAAATACAAATGAAATACAAGTCAAAAATCTCGAGGTCTACTATCCAGAATGATCTAAAATCCTGTCTTCCAGATCAATGGCAAAACTCTTTTTCATTTACATTAGTGCATCTGATATTTTTTCATAATGAAATTTGTAGAGGGTCTCTATTCTTAATTTCACATCAGCATTAAATAAAATTTCTGCTTATTGAAGAAAGAATAGTGTATTAATATAACTCTATGATCAATAATTTTGCTCAATAGCCACCTTTTTGTGTGGCGTATATTTTAAACAAAAACATTCTACACTCAAATGTGCTTGATGTTAAACCTACTGACTAATTTATAATCATGATGCCAATCCGGTGAATCATTATTTATTATATTTTCCTTTCATCACTGCATGATGCACAGATCAAGATATGGGAGCTTGAGAAATGTCTTGTGCAGTGATGTTTAAACATTTTTTTAAAATATTGGATAATTGAATTCGAAAGAGCATGGCAATCTTTTATGTTGAAGTTACACTTGGTGATGATTACAGATTTTTGCAAAGTGCATCGCAAAGTGTTTAGTGTGTTAACCAGCAGAAATTTCTTTTGCATATGGGGAAAAAAAAAAAAAGCTTTGGCAAATGGTTCTCATAGGTCAAAAGATTTCATTTAACACTGTTTGAACTGAGAGTAACGATTCTTTATTCAGATAAGCCTTAAGTATATATAAAAATTTATTTATTCAGTCCTCAGATAAGTGTTAAGCATGTGTGAGAAATAGGCATAAGTATAATAAATATTAATGTAATTAAGGCGGTGGTAGCTGACGATAAATTATGCCAAGCATTTTTTAACCAATCTGGAGACACATCCTCCGACGATCTTGCGATGCTCCACACAGCAGATTTTGTGCTAAAAATTTTCAAAAAGTCTTGAATATTCTTGCCATTGTTCAAGAAATGTAACATAGATTTTTAAAATGCTACTTTATATTTGCATTTCAATGCTCGCATTATTCCGATATTCATAGCCTGAATGACAGAGGCAAAATGTTTTTGATGGCAAGAGTGTTTTTGAGTGACAAGTTCATGAGTGCCAAGAGTATTGATAGGAAAGTAAGTGAAAGGTTGTTGGAGAGGTGCAGACACATTATTGTTGAATGGAATTGATTAGCTTTATTTTTGTTTACTTGCCTTAGAGAACCACTATAGCTGTTATTGATGCTGAGTTCTGCATTGATGGGCCTCGCTTAAAATCCTCGAGAAGGCATGGATATTGGTAATTGTATAGTGTCTGCATGACGAAGGGGCATGCAAATATATGGAAAGCCAAAAGTTTTCTCGAAAAGCTGGTGGTATGAGAAGAGGGGTGGGAGATCATTGGACTGCCACCCCTGAGGTGTTCTATGAAAACTGAGGCCGAAGTGTAACAGTTAGGCTCAGCAATATGTCAATTGGCTTTGGTACTATATCAGGTTTGTCTGTCATTTTTTATTCATTAATTGCCAAAAAAAAAGTCAATGTTTAATTTTTTTTGCTGTAAAACCTTTCACAGAGATAAAAAAAAAATCTAGCATTTCATAAGAGTAGTATTAAATGAAAGTGTCCGAATTCAGCAGTATTCATGTTCTGTGGCCATCTCAACTGAAAACCAAAATTGTCCCAAACCATAGGTAGTCTTAAGCTGGTTTTACTGTATTTGTAGTTTTGCTTTGTTTATGACTGTGGATTTCATAATAGACTTTTTTGCAATTTAGTTTCTCTTTTAGTCTGACAGTGATAGTTCTACAAGCCATAATCTTGGTGAATTTGGATCAAATGGTGTGACTACTGCAATGGAAGCATTGAGCACTAACAGTAGTTCTGCAATGGATATTGATGAAGGTTGTAACTGTTCTACTGACGATGGGGCAAGTGGTGTATCAGTTGGAGGAGAAAAAGTTAAATCAAAAACATACCATTCCCAAATTAAACAGATTAAACCATTGCTTTCAGGTGCTTCTAGGCTGGGAAGGGCTTTGGCTGAATTGTTTGGTCTTCTAGTTAAGGTAAGCTTTTCTCTCCCTATTTATCACGAATGAATTGAAAACATTACATATAGTATTTGTTTATAAAGCATAATTTTAAGTTTTAATATTTTGGCAACAATTATATTAAATTGTAAAAAGAATGAGTTAAAAATGTATCTGGAATTGAAAGAGTTTCTTGTTATGGTTTGGTAGAATGTGGTAAGATTTCATATGATTGATTTTCTTTAATAAAGTTTTCTCTTTGTATATTGCCATAATATGTTTTTGTTAGAAGTGGATGATTCTTTTGAGAATGTTATTTATATGCCAATCTTAAAAACTAACATTTACTGTTATTACTAACACTTATTTACTATTTATATTATTTTTCTTTATTTATTACTTTTATTTTAGCTGTGTGTTGGGTCACCCATGCGTCAGAGACGTGGTCAGCAAATACCGCTATCACCATGTGTGCCTTCTCCAGCTGCTCGAGCTGTGGCAAGTGCTCTGACACGTCTTTTAGCCATGGGTTTATCTTGGGAACCTCCACCTGCATCTCCAGTGCCAAAATTTCGGTAAGAACGTAAAATGAGACTTAATGCAGTTTTTAATTAATCTATATTATATTGTTAAAGACTTATATTTTAGACTAGAAAATATTATCGTTTTAGGCTTACATTCTATATTTGTTCTGTTGGATTTACTTCTCCTATGCTTTTTGATGAAAGAAAATATCCATATCACCTGATGCTTCAAAAATTTCTTAGTTGTGGTGGATTGGATGCATTTTTCAAGTAAGCTGTAAACCCTAAATTGTAAGGTTATTTTATGGTAACTTGTGAAAGGTTTTTAGATGTCCATTATAGCTGTATAAATTTTTTCATTGTATTGATAGATTTACTTCACACTGCAAGATTACTATCATTTCATAATTTTGAAAATTTAATTCATGATTTATGTTGCCACTATTATTGGCATAATCTTACTATCAATAGGTGTGTGTTTTTTATATCTGTCTGTACAGCCTTGCCATTTTTTATTTTGAAATCCTCGAGTTTGTTAATCAAAAATTCGTTAAAGTTTTAAATATCAAAATGAAATTGATATCAAACAATTCCAAATTTCAAAATTGGTCTCCATTGCATATTCGTAGAGGAATGTCATTCAAAATTAGATGGCTATGTATGTTGTTTTATACATGCGAGAAATATACATACATTATGCATCTTTTTCATTATTAATTTTAAAATAATGAGGACTCTAACATTTGGTGGCAACAGTTTTGAAAAAGTGAAACGAATTTATATTGACTGCAAAATGGCGAAACAAAAACAAAGCCTTCAGGGACAAGCGCTGTATTGTGATTCTAGACTAATTAAGTAGTATTATAGCAATTGACAAATTTCAAGTTAATTAACTCCATTCAGATCATACGCTGTCTCCGTATGTATGTTACTTAGCAAATCCGAACGCTCTGTGAAGTTTCTGTCCCTATCGAATAGGTGGTTCGTATTTCTAACTGACATCCCGGCACCCGTGAATTCCAAATTTCAAAACATTACAGAAAAAACATACAATTAAACAATTCAATAAAAACTAATTCTACGGTAAAATGAAAGCTAATAGCAATTCATCATGATTATATAAAACCTGTAACATTTTAAAACATAAAACATTCCTATGCTACAATCGAACTTATTCTTTAAACAATTCCATTTTAATGTAAAGCACAATTTTCGATAAGAATGTAATGTAAACTAAGTATTATTATTCTGGACAGTTAATAAACAAATTTTACTAATACATCCAATCTACACACCATTTAATGTTTTTACTTTAACAATTCTGGCCTTATCTTTACCAGGTAAAACTTTTATAGCTAAAGACCATTTAAATGGGGCAATATTATCTTCCTTTAACACAACTAACATACCCACCTTTAAATTTTCTTTATTAATAAACCATTTGGTGCATTGTTGGAGATGATTTGAATAATCAGTTAGCCAACATTTCCAAATAATTTGAATGACCTATTGTTGATATCTCTTTTCTTTCATGTTTCTTCAATATCAAGTATCTTTAAATCATAAGAAAAACAGAGTATATTTAAATCATAAGAAAAACATTCTGTAGACGTACTTCATGACATTCCGCAGGCCTTTGTAATCTGAGGCTTATCCGTAACTTGAAAAGAGTAATCCTGAGTTGCACTTTCTTTATTCTTCAATAGTTCTGTATGATTTGAACACCATTGTTGGGCTGCATTTAGCACATGCTGGAAACAGGTTAACTGTTTATCTGCAACCTTGGCTTCTTGCAACACTTTTATAGCTCCAGTGATATGTGCGTCCATGTAACAGTCTCAGTAGGCCTTAGGCATGAGGAATTCAGTCACTTCATCTATTGTAACGGTGTCAAACTTGTTGCGAGTTTAGGGTGGCTTGCTGTTCCAGTATTTTAGTCCTTACCGAAAGTTGCACAGGACTACCAACGATTCTGTCGACAAGATCACTGCAGGTTTCTTGCATAGTTCAATGATTATTTGTCTTCCTTTCGGACGCCGCAGCTCCTAATGCATAGTTGACTTTCGAAATCGAATCTCATAGAAAATAATCTTGAGTTTTCGCCCTTTCAGTAATATGAATTAAGTGGATTTTATTATTAGAGCTCTGCTGCATTAAACAAATGACGAACTTGGTAGAGGTTTGTCTGGATGATAACTCGTGATGAATAGGAATGCAAGTCGATGTTTCAATTTCTTGAACTTCTTCCATTTGATTTAGATCCTTGTATTCCTGTATAAAATTCTTATATAATGTTTTCATATTCAAATCACTTTCTATTTGATTCCACACTTGATGCAGTCTTTTTCTCAGGCACCATTTTCGATTCTCTTAATTCTATACCTTCCCTAATGGGTAACTGAACTATCGTCATTTTATTTATAGTGAATGTGCTTGAAATGTTCTTCACAGTATTTTTCTTCTTTACTCAAAGCATCTTCAATATTTTCAATGGATTCAACTTCCCAAAATCTTCGCAAAATTTCTTCAACCCTTTCTTTTATATTTAGAACTAAACCACAATAATTGACTTCTGAGTTCTTCTTGCATGCATCAGATGCAATATATCCAAAAACTTTCTTGGAATATCAATGGTTGATTTTCTAATTGAAATTTTCTTTATTTTAAAATCTCAAAGAACAATTTGGCCCCTAATAACATATCTATTTTGTTAGGTGTTCCAAATTGTGGATCCACCAATTCAATATCAATGGGAATATTTAATGACTGCACATCTAAACTGGTCAACGGAGTTACATTGGTTATTTTAGAAATAACTAAGCAATTATCTGATCTTACGTATATTAAATATTTATTCAAAATCTGTATATCTAGTTGATAATTAATATTTACAACATTCTCATTAATTCCGGATACAAATGCATAAATTCTTTCTTTATATTTAACAAATTAGCAACTTCTTCACACAGGAA